TGTGCGAGGCGCGCGGGAGGGGCGGGCCGCTGCGTACGCAGGTGCGCGCGGGAGCTGGGGGCCCTAGGCGCGGGGCGCAGGGACGTCCAGGTGAGCGCGGTTCTGGCGGCTTGTGGCGAGCGGGTTCGGGTCCGGCGCTCCGGGAGGAGGACGCAATGTCCCGCTTGCTCTTGTCCCGTCCTCCATCCCTTGCCCTCACGTGCCTGAGCACCGGCTCCCTCGCACCCACCGCCTCGCCCGGGGGAAATGTTTGCGGTAGGCGGATCCTCGGGCTGCGCCCTGCAGGCCCTGGGCAGGGACGACAGCGGGTGCCGGGGCGACCAAGGTGCAGCCCAGCACCCCAGGTCGTCCCTCGAGTTCGGGCTCTGTCTGGGACCGGATCGATCCCTCCGGTTCTCCTCGCACCCCGCCGGGGAGGCCGGTGCGGGCGCTCTGGCGCTGGGTGCGGCGCGGGAAGCCGCAGCTGCGGGCCCTGGGTAAGGACCTGGACCTGCGGCCGGACCGGCCGTGGCCTCTTCGCGGAGGGCTTCGGCTGCGCTGACGGAGGAGGGAAAGCACTTGTCCAAGGTCACCTGCAGTTCGGCCAATTCCTGCGCTCTGAGTCACTCGCCCGCTCCTCCTAGTCCGGGGAGAGGCCCCGGCGTTGTGCAATACGGGGAGGGCAGGACCGGGTCCCGGTCGTCCCCAGCTCCCCCCTGGCGCTCCGGGAAGCACAGCAGGGGTTCGGGGTTCCTGTGTTGAGTGGAGGGCGGCCCACAGCTGCGGCCTCGCGCGGTTGGGACTCCCCGTGTCCCCTGTGCAGAGCATGGGCGCTGGCCGGGTCCCGCGAGCCTGTGCCCAGCCCCGTGCCACGGGGCCGCTCTTGTCCCGCTTCCCCGAGGAGAAGGAAGAGGCGCGGGGGCGCAGGGAGGGATGGCTGTTTCCCTCTCCGTGAAAACCCCACCGTCATCTGACTTTTGGGCGAACCCGGCGCGGGTGGGCCCGGCAGGGGATGCCCTGTATCCCCGTGGGACATGGGCAAAGTCTATGCCCCTTCCCCTCTCGGCTGCACCCCTGAGCTCTGCCATGGGGGCGCCCCCAGATCACAGCCGCTGGCAGCCCGGATCACAGCGTCCGGGCGGACCCCGTGCGCCCACAGCCTCGAGGGGCAAGGGTGCAGGCTGGAGGCGGCGGGCTCGGGGCCCTTCCCTCCGCCCGGGAGCCCCATGGTGCTGCTGACCAGACAGTGGCGGGGTTCTGAGGCGCTGCTGCCCCAGACCCCAGGCCAGGCTCATCGAAGCTGGGGATTGCTGGGACGCAGGGAGCAGGTGTTGCCCGGCCGGATGCTCCTGTACAGGCCCGGCGGAGCTGGGGTTCTGCGTCCCCGGAACCCTGAGGCACAGTCTGCACCGGGGCTCCGAAGCGCCCCCTGCCGCCCCTCAGCAGCCAGGCACAATTGGGTCGTCACCTCCACGTGGGACCTGCAAGCCCCGAAGGCCGTGGTTGCCAGGGCAGGGACATCTGAGAGGACTGGCCGCGGGCAGGCGCAGAGCTGAGCCCCGAGGTCAGCCAGGCCTTGATGAAACCAAATTCCCACTGGATGAGTCTGGGGAAGGGTCTTCCCGTGGCACCCTGCCTGCCGAGCCCCTGGGTCCCTTGCAGAGCAGGCTTTGGGGAGAGAAGGGGCCGCACCCCCAGGAGGGAGAGGACGCAGCCTGGGGAAGCAGGGACACTGTCCAGGTAGTGAGTCCCCATGGCCCCTATGCTGGTGCATTGCAGCCTCCTCCCGCTGGGACCAGCTAGCGCTCCTGACGCTGGTTCATCTTTTGCATCTTTTCTCTCCTCCAGCAACACTGGGCAGCCAGGGCGATGGAGGCACAGCGTTGCCAGGCTCAGGGACTCCAGCGGGGGAGGGGTCGGGCAGGCTGGGCCCAGGGTCGGAAGAGCCAGCGCCCCACTCCTGCCCTCCGGTTGCTGTGCCGTGGGGGTCTCTCGCATCCCTCTTCATGGGTGGTTCTCTGTTCTCTGGACGGAGCAGTGCAGGCGGGGAGGAACCAGACACTCCAGTGCCCGTGCTGTGGTGAGGGCTGGGGCCTGGCGCCCTGCCCCGCCCTGGCCGCAGGTTGGTGGCTGTCCCGCTGCTCTGGAGCCCCGGACTCTGTCTCTGGGCTGCAGCTGTGTGGACCATGCTCCTCACCACAGGCAGTCCTTCCACGTGCAGGTCAGAGGTGCGACGGCCAAGTGTACCCTGGCCCTGCTGGAGGATTGTGCCAAAGGTGGTCAGGGTGGCCTGATGCGAGCCCTCCCTCTGGGACGGGCCTCTGAGCCGGCTGGCGGGATGTTCCTGTAGCCATGGACGGAGGGCAACAGCCAGGCTCCTTGGGATCTGGGGTCCTGAGAGGGCTTTGCTCATGGCCCAGCTCAAGGGGCTGCCTCCTAAGGCTTCCTGCATCCCGGGTGGGGGACAGGGCGTGTGGGTGTGTGTGCTGTGTGCACACTTTGTTCCTGTCACCCTCTCTTCTCCTTGACGACCTCATCTAATCCCAGAGCCTTTTCCTCCTGCTCGTGCGGGGACCTTGCTGCAGCTCGAGGGACACTCACACACACCTCAGCTGCAGCACTCTCCAGGGACACAGCCTCGTACTCGGGTGCAGTGGCAGGGAATGAGAAGGAGGAGGTGGGCCGGCCTGTGGGTCCCCGAGTCCTCCGGTGCCTCCACGCTGCCCTCTGTCCACCCCTGCCCAGTCTGTGCCTCTGTTACCGGGGCTGCAGCAAAGGCTCGTGGCATGCCGTCTCCTCCTACTCTGAGTCACACTGGGATGCCGGGTGGGCTGCTCTTGGGCTCTGAAGTGGACTTGGTCACCTGGTGGTCATGCCGGGCTCCATCAGGCCTGTCTTCCTCAGTGGACACCAGCTCCTAGCCCCAGCCCTTGTCTCTCCACTGGTGGGAGACAGCCCGCTCTTCTCGTGCCTGTTGCTGTGGACCTGAGCCTGCTCTGCCCAGCGCTGGGGGTGGTGGGTCTCTGTACTGAAAACAGACAAAGATGGGGTCTGGGATGCGAGGCCTGCTGCATGGCTCATGGACCCCTGAAGCAGTCACGGAAGTCACTGGACCACAGGATCCAGAGCAGTGACTGAGTAGAGGCCTCCAGTCTCGGAATTGTAGGACTCACCCAGCAGAAGCCACAAATGGGGTCTTAGAACTGCAAGAACATGGCATTTGGGGGTAACAACGTCCCAGCACCGTGGAGACCTAGAGCCACGCTCTGGTCACAGCCTGCGGGTGAGTGGCTGAGTTGCCTGTGATTCTGGCCCCCAGGTTCCAGCTATTGTTAGGGGATTAGGATGTCCACCTCTCCCAGAAAAAGGGCTCCTTTGGTCCCAGGAGCCACCGATGGGGGCCATCTGTGTTCCGGTGGCTGCCTGCTTCTGGGCCAACACTGCCGCCCTGTGGACACATGGAGCATAGTGTCTTGGAAGGGACCTCACCCCCTCAGCAGGAATGATCTCTGCAGCCCTGGGTTGTCAGGTGCATCCGGTGGGGTTGGGAATCATGGAGATACTGTCAATCCCGGTAACAGCAGTGACCACAGCACCTGTTTGCTGGCTCCACGTGACCGAGCCTGATCACCACACAAGAAGTGGGCGTCACCATCCTTGAAGTGCGTGTGTGCACCGGCAGATACATGCGCGAAGAGAACGACAGTAGTACATCAGGAGCACAGCTGTGCCCGGACACTGCCACCCTGTCCACGGCAGCTGAGAAATGGAGCTGCCTCAGCATCTGTCGGAGAATGACAGAGAAGGATGTCTCCGATACAACAGGAGCGGAGAGGGAGGAAGTTGTGCACAGTGACACAATCCTGGCGCCCTAAGGGCTGGGCTCCCCTCCCCCGCTCCCATGCCACCTCAATTTGTACCTTCTGTCGCCCCACTGCCCAGATCAAAGGCCCTGAGCTCCAGGGCTGCTGGGGGCTTCAGACCTGAGTGCCACTTACGTGTGGTAGCTGGTGTGGGGACAGCCACACGCACGGAGGTGCAGGGCGGAGGGCAGCCTTGGTGTGCATGGACCCAGGGCTTGGGCGGCCACACCGCCTCAGACGCAGCCCGCCCACGCACAGGCTCACTGTCCCCCCAGTCGGTCTCCCCTCCCGACACCCTGCTCTGCACCCTCCTGCTTCTCACCCCACAGCCGCACCCCCCTCCACCTTCAGGCTGGGCAGCGTCTGCCCCGACTTCAGTGCACTGAAGGGTCCCAGCCTCGCAAGCCCATGGATTCCTCCCAGCAGATCTGTTCCTTTCTGGGACTCAGTGGGGCTTTCCACACAGACACCCCGTCATCTGGGAGAAGGGTGGGTTTCTCCTCCTCTGGCTTTGCGTGGCTTTCGTTGCTGCTTGTCTCACGGCAGTGCTGGGAATTCAGGGGAATGTAGAATAGCAACTCCTTGGCTTTGTCCTGATGTTGGGCACAAACACAGCGTGAGTCTTTCGGAGAGGACTTCATCAGGCTGAGGTGCTCCCGGCTATTCCTTGTTTGCTCAGAGCTTGGACCCGAATGTCAGAAATAGTTGCCAATTTCCTGCATCCACTGAGCCAATTATACAGTTTTAATTTTTAGTCTGTTATTTACCTATCTCTATAATCTCTTTCTCATTATCATTGGTCTATCTATCACCTATGTATACATTTGTGTATCTATGTATTATGTATCTATATCCATCACCTGTCAATCATTTATGATGTATGTATCTCTCTATATTATCATCTGTGTACTGTTTATATATCCCACTTCCGTATATCTAGGTATTATATTTATAACATGTGTGTATTATTTGCTTAGCCGTATACTATATTTCTATCATCTTTCTGTCTACCTATCCATCTGACTACTATCTCTCCATAGCAGAACCTAAATTCCCAAGGGCAAACCTTTTTCCAAGTAGTGTCACTGCTGTATGCCCAGTCCCTAGGTCAGGTCACGTGTGTTAATTGAACACATAAGTCCATCCAGGTCAGTGCTGACCAGCAGCCCTGTCTTAGTTACTTTTTTCTCATTGCTGAGTTTTGTGTCCCATGCAGCTCTCGATGGTCCCAGGGTGAGGACGGTGACAGGATGGAGAAAAAAGGATAAGAGTCAGATACAGAAAACTGAGGCCAGGTGGAGCCCTCTCTCCTGATGGGAGGGAAGGAAGAAAGGAAGGAGGAAGAGAAGGAGAGCTCCAAGGGCTGCAGTGTGTTTATTTACACACTTGGCATTTTCTTTTCTTTTCTTTTCCTTTTTTTGGTACCAGGAATCGAACTTGGACCTTATGCTTGCCAGGCAGTGCTTATGCCACTGAGCTATATCCCCAGCCCTATTTTTGCACTTGGGAGGTTGAATATCATGTGAAACCTGGCCTGCCTAAGAGCCCATCCATGTGGCTTGTCTCAGGCATGCTGTGTTCTGGAGACTGGAGTGGCTCATCCACGTGACCTGCCTCAGGCGCTGTGTTTTAGATATTGGCCTTGATCCACCTCTAGCTTCAGTTGCTCCTTCATATGCTCCTTGGGCATCCCCTTTTCTGTTTTATAGTTGTGAGGGACGGGTAGTTGGTTGAGGTTGGAGGAGCTGTATTTGGGGGACTCTGTAGGAGACCGTCTCCTTCTTAAATCCTTTCCATTCTAGATGAACTTGTTCAGTTGAGGCTAAAGATTCCCAGTCCAAAGGTTTTGAGTCCCTGCATGTAGCAATTTAATCCTTTACAGTGTATTATCGCAGAACAGCCATCAGTTACTAGTGTAGTTGGCAACTGTTTTATACCTCTTGTGGTTATACTTTCCTGCTGGAT